TTTGTAATTCAAGGACCATCTGTACCTGTAGCAATTGGTCATCAGATTGCTACAATGGTGATAAGTGTGGAAAACAAGTCACTTTTTTTCAGTTCTGCTGTAATAGGGTGGGCCAAGAGCCACTTGGACCCGTTTCTCACTGAAAAGAAAACACCGGGAGCCACAAAGGTCCTAAACGGAAGCCCCCTGTTCAATTCTGGAGCTGCTGACCGGACGTTCAGTTCCGCCACCATAGAGTTTCCTCCTAGCGCGGCATCCTTTTTCCTCTACCTGTCATAACCGAGAGCCCTATCAATTGTGGAGACCACTGGGAACCCCTCCCCTTGCCATAGAGTCTTCTCCTGGCGCACTGTGCTTCTCTCGCCTCCCCCACCGGAAGCTCCTCTCAAAATTATGGCGCCGACCGGTGACGGAGCCGCAGCAGAGGGAGGAAAGAGCCACATGCGACTCCAGAGCCGCAGTTTGCTGACCCCTGCTCTAGAGCAATGCCTCTCACTGCAACATTCACATCAGTAGCAGGCTGTCAGTCATCATGTCTAGCAGAGAAAGTCACATTGTTCTCTGGTGACTCTGCCTTAGACCAAGGTTGATTCCGTGGGATGTTAACATTTTAATCTCGTTTACCCCTTTCTATACAGGTACTCCTTGACTTACAACAGTTCATTTAGTGCCTGTTCAAAGTTACAACAGCACTGAAAAAAGTGGCATCTAACCGTGTTTCACACTTATGACCATTGCAGCATCCCCATGGTCACGGGATCAAAATTCAGACCTAACTCACATTTATGAGTTACGGTGTCCCAGGGTCATGTGATCCCCTTTTACGACCATTCGACAAGCAAAGTTAACGAAGAAACCAAATTCACTTAATAATTATTGTTATCCTTAACAGCTCCAATGATTCGCTTAACAACTGTGTCCAGGAAGGTCGTAAAATGGGGCAAAACTCACTTAACAACTGTTGCTTAGCAGCAGAAATTTCAGGTTCAAATGTGGCCGTAAGTAGAGGACCCCCTGTATATCCGATGCGTTACTCCTTTTTATTTAAGGATTTGAATATTTTGTCCGTGAGCACAATAGAGAGAACGCTTGGGGGATTTTACAATCTTTTGTGTGCTACCGAACAGAATAGCTGTCCCAGAGCTAAAATATTTGAAGTATTCCCCATTTTTTCCTCCCCCTCTCCCGCTTCCTCCCATCTCTCTCCAGATGTGAAGCCCTCAAACATCTTGGTAAACTCAAGAGGAGAAATCAAACTCTGCGATTTTGGGGTCAGCGGACAACTGATTGATTCCATGGCCAACTCTTTTGTGGGCACGCGATCTTACATGTCGGTAAGTTCAGGCCGTGGGATAGCTGCTGTCGAATTCCGACATCCTAACAGCTGCTCAGTGTCAGATTGATCATGAGTGTTGAGTGTTTCCTTGCTTGCAAAGAGCACAAGTGTTTTGCACAAGAGTGTGCAACATAAGGATGCCCTCTCATTTCTGCCCAGGACTGCTGCTTGAGGCAGAGATTTAGAGATGCTAAAGAGAGTGGTATTTAGCCTAACAAAGAGAAGACTTAGGGGAGACAAGATAGCTGTTGTGGCCCACCAGCAGCCAGCAGAGCCTGCAGCAGACTCAGACACTGAGGAGGTTGGGGAGGAACATGGGCCAGTCCTGGAATCCGCAGAAGGCTCTGATGAGGACTCTGCTTCAGAGGCAGAGGTGGGGCCAGGGCCATCTGACAGTTATTAGCTGCCTTTGGAGTCACAGATCAGTAGGGCAGAAGAACAGAAGATGTGCGCATGCGCAGAGCTGCCAGGAGAAGGGAACAGCTAAGGAACAGAGGTTGACTTGGGAGTAAAGGCACAGGTGGACGGTGAGTGGCCCCTCCCATAGGGAATAAAGAGGAGCAAAGGGGGAGGGGAGTTTTCAGGAGACAATTCGTTTGTTTAATTAGTGTGAAGATTTGTTCGTGACTCTCAGAGATTCCTTGCCAAGTATTTCCTTCTACAGCAGTTGCCTTTGGAGGATATTGGCCTGGCAGCTCTCCAAGCCTGATAAGGTCTGTGGTTGTCAATTCACCCTTGAAAGACTGTTTGCCGGGACTTTGCTGGATGTGAATGAGAGGAATTCACATTAGCTTAATAAAAAGGGGTTTTGTTGGGACAAGGAGTCTGCTTCATGATTTTGGGAAATCTAGGTCAGAACAATAACCATCCTCCATTACTTGATGGCTGTCACAGGGAGATGGTCAACCTATTCTCCAAAGCACCAGAGGGGCAGGCCCAGAAGTAACAGGTGGGAGATGATTAAAGAGAGATACAACCTAGAAGTAGGGGGAAATTTTCTGACAGTGAGAAGATTTAATAATCAGTGGACCAGCTTGCCTCCTGGGGTTGTGGGGGCTCCATCACTGGAGGTTTCCAATAAAAGTTTTGATATCCATTTGCCCAACATAGTATAAGAACTGCTGCCTTGGGCAAGCTGTTGGACTAGATAGAAGATCTCCAACCTCCTCCCTTCCAGTGCTGGGATACTATGATATTGTCTCTTGGAGAGTTTCAGTCATGTGGAAGGAGTACGATTGGGGCTGAAGTCCAAAGCTTCCTGGGCTGGTGGTACATCTGGAGATGGACACCTGGAGTCTAGCCTTCTCACAAATCAACTGCCATAGTGGGCAGTCAAAAGAAGCACATAACAAGGATGCTTCCTGTTCCCCTGCAAATTCAGAAATCTGGGCCATGTTTCTAAGTTTTCAAACTCTTGAGTCCACACCCTGGCCACAAAACCTAAAGGTTTGAAGAAGTGGAATCTAGTTTCACATTATCAGATTTTTCTCCCTCCATCACCGTTTCCTTTTTTTTAATAACAAGTTTTTTTCATTTATTATTGTTACATAATAAAAAAATTATTTTGCGAATAGAGTGTTCTCCGGATTTTCCCTTTAATGTTTCCACAAACACATCATTCATTCTACATTATATTTCCATTATTTCCAATTTTAGCTGTATACTTTTCTTCTCATAATTTCCCATTTCAAATTTTTAATATATATAAACAATATCATTTCCCCCCTCCTCTTTAGAAACAAATCAACTTATCATTTCTTTTCCATCTGTTTTCTGTTTAGCAACGCATGTCTTCAAGTTCAATTTTTACAGGGTCAACATTTAACATCTCCCTTTCCATGCTGTGACTGGACGGGCTTTTGCTGCTGCACGAGGCACATTTTCCCACCATTGCCACTCGTTCTCTGTCTTCCCCCAGCCAGAGAGACTGCAAGGGACCCACTACTCGGTGCAGTCGGACATCTGGAGCATGGGGCTTTCCCTGGTCGAGATGGCCATCGGCAGGTACCCCATCCCTCCGCCTGATGGCAAGGAGCTGGAGCTGATGTTCGGCTGTCCTGTCGGAGCTGACTATCCCGTCTCAGAGACGTCTCCGCGGCAGAGAACGCCAGGCCGGCCCATGAGCGGTAAGAGGGCACCAACTGGCAGTGCCACCTTGGGGGCTGGAAACGGACCACTCCTTTGAGAAGGGAATTGTGACTGTGGATTTTAGGAAGGCCAGTGGGTGTTGTGGGTATGGCAGTCATGTTGGGATGGGTGAGCACAGGCAGAGCTGGCCATGCCAAAGCCACCTGATCCTTCCAGCATGGGCTGGAGCTAGGAGCTGAATGTCAGGCGTGCCTCCTTCAGCATCCAAGAAAAGAAACCCCCAACTCCAATTAGTTAGAGAAAAGGTACATTTACTGGATATGAAATGAAAACAGCGAAGATGAAGCAAGATCTGAGGCAAAAAAGCACGAATTTGTACATATCAAACGTTTACCCAAATCCCTCCCCCTGGTTATCCCAACCCAATGTCCAATCTCCAGCTCCCAAAGATGTCATGTGGGGTGCATCTTCAGGTGGCCTCATCCAGCAGATATGCAGAAACGGTTGGCTTTGACCAAACCCAAGCACGAGCCTTCAGCATGCACAGAAGATGGTGAGAACAAAACTCCCCCTTTCAAGATGTCTCCACCAGACGA